GGGTGCCGTCAGCCAGACAGTGCCGGCTGGCGACCTCCAGGGGGAGGGCCTTCTCGGTGGGAGCTCCCACCCTCTGGAACGAACTACCCCCAGAGATCCGGGTGATCCCGGATCTCCCCTCCTTCCGCCGCGCCCTTAAGACATGGCTCTTCCAACAAGCGGGATTGGCCTAGGGGAATTTTTAGTGGGGTTTTAAGAGAAATTTTAACTATATAGGCCACAGTAAATATTTCTTTTTAATCAGGTTTTAAATTGGGTATTTATTGTTGTACTTGTTTTATAAGGCTGTCAGCCGCCCTGAGTCCGTAAGGAGAAGGGCGGGATAAAAATTGAATAAATAAATAAATAAATTTTCTATGACTTTTTATGATCCCACCAGTTCTTCCTTACAGGCAAATGATATTTCTTGCAGATCTTCCAATGTGCCATTGTTGCTACTTTTTTTTATATTATTATTATTATTATTATTATTATTATTATTATTATTATTATTTAGACATGAACCTCAGTCAACTGAACATTCAAATTGGCTAGCGCTGATGGTTGACACGGGTTGCTACCAGCATCCTAGGTGTCAACCAGGTACCTCCTTAAAATGTAAGATGTTCCGAGTAGTGCAGTTTTTTGTAGCATTGCTGGAGTTATTGCAGGAAGCTGCAGTTTCTTGATGCATTTTGCAGAGTTTTTGGACACAGTTCCCAGAAATATTCTATATTTCTGATTCTATTCTATTCCTAATTCTATTCTATTCTGTAATTCAATTCTATTCTATACATATTCCTATTTCGTATTCTAATTATTCTTATTCTATCCTATCCTTCCCTATCCCGATCTCTATTCTATTCCTATTCTCTATTCTATTCATTCCTTATTTCTATTCTATTCTATTCTCCATTCCATTCTATTCTATATTCCATTCTCTTTCTTATTCTATTCTATTGTATTATATTCTATATTCCATTCTATTCTTAATTCCTATTGCTATTTCTATTCCTATTCTGTTCTCATTCCATTCCATATCCCTGTCCCTATCCCTATCCTGTATTTTATTATTCCATTCTATTCCATTCCGTTCTATTCTCACTTTAAGTCGTACAGTCGTAAAATCGAGCGCCTGAACCAAACGCCTTGTCTGCCTGCCGCAATCCTGCTCTGGATTGTTGCTCGTGTGTCAAGGACTGTGTTCTGATTCCGCTTTCTGGCTCCGCAGGTATCCCAGGTCGGGTGCCCATTGACCCCGGTTCCGGCGTGCCACCCTTGCAGGACTGCCCAGAGTGAGTATATATATTCCCCCCCACCCCCAGGGGTTTGCCCCCCCAAAAAAGAGGAGTGGGCGTTTGAAATCCCACCGGGGTGGGACGCTCCTCCCGCCTTGACCCTCTCCTGCCACGTGTCCACGCCAGGCCACGCCGGATCTTTACCATCGACGACTTTGAGATTGGGCGGCCGCTGGGCAAAGGGAAATTTGGCAACGTCTACCTAGCCCGGGAGAAGGACTCCAAGTTCATCGTGGCACTGAAGGTGCTCTTCAAATCCCAGATGGAGAAGGAAGGGGTGGAGTACCAGCTGAGGAGGGAGATCGAGATCCAGTGTCACCTCAGGTGAGTCCACACCTGGGCCCACCTGCGTGGAGTGGCGTGGAGTCGGGGCTGGGAGCGGAGGCCGGCGTTTGGCGGCTTGACGGCGACGTCCACGATTTTAACAACCGTTTAGCTACCGCCTCCTTCCCACGCGCGCCCCAAGCTGGGCTATCTACGTTCGTTTACCTGTTAAGATGTAAATTATATTAATGTGTAATTATAGATTTATAATATATAAATCTACGCCCAGGCGGTCCTCGACTTAACGGCGGTTTGCTTGGTGACCGAAGTTATTACGGCACTGGGAAAAAAAACCTGTGACTTATCCCCGTAAAACATACGAAGAACGGTTGCAAGAATTGGGTACGGCCAGTCTAGAGAAAAGGTGGATCGGGAGGGACAGGATAGCAGTCTTCTGGGATTTGAGGGACTGCCACGAAGACGGTGTGTCTGTTTGTGCGTAAGCAATTATTCTCCAAAGGGGCTGGACTAGAAGACCTCCAAGGTCCCTTCCAGCTTCTGTTCTGTTCTCTCTGTTCTATATTCTATTCTATATTCTACATTATTCTATTCTATTCTATATTCTATATTCTTCTATATTCTATTCTATATTCTATTCTATACTCTATATTATTCTATATTCTATATTATTCTATATTCTATTCTATTCTATACTCTATTCTATATTCTATATTCTATTCTATTCTAAATTCTATTCTATACTCTATATTCTATATTCTATTCTATGTTCTATTCTTCTATATTTTATTCTATATTCTACTCTATATTCTATATTATTCTATTCTATATTCAATAGTAGCTGTACCCGGCCACGCGTTGCTGTGGCTCAGTCTGGTTAAATGGAAAAGAAAGAAAAGAGAAAGCGCACGTTTCTAATATGTTTAATTTCACAATGCTTGTGGGTATACAATATTTTTTGTTGTTCCATTGTCTGTGCATCAATTCCAATGCAATGTCACACGAAATAATTAAATCAAAATGAAAATAAATCGAAATCAATGAAAATTCAATTTAACAATGCAATCGGAAACATTGAAATGGAATCGTAAAATTGGAAATTTGGAAATCGTAAATGGATCGTAAATTGGAAACATTGAAATGGAATGGTAAAATCGTAGCGTGTGTTGCTTTTACGTCCAACAGATGGCGCTGTTTTTCAAAAAAGCATGTTTTTACCTGTCACAGGTATGACATCTATATTATATAGGCATATAAAAACACGCGCGTATTCGAATGCAACGTTGTGTCAAAATTTCAAAGCAATCGGTGAACTTTTGGAGATTTAAGATTTTGAACAAACAAACATTTACATTTTTATCTATATAAGAAGATTATTCTATATTCTATTCTATATTCTTCTATTCTATATTCTATTCTATACTCTATATTAGTCTATATTCTATTCTATATTCTATTCTATATTCTATATTATTCTATATTCTATTCGATTCTTGTATTCTATATTCTACTCTACTCTATATTCTATTCTATATTTTCTATTCTATTCCATTCCATTTTCTATTTCTGTTTGTTTTAATTATTGGGGTTGCCATTTAACGTAGGGGTCCCCAACCCGCAATCGGTGGACCGTTATCGGGCCGTGGCATGCGAGCAACCGGGCTGCACAAACAAAGCCCTGTCAGTGGGATGCGGGCAGGATACAAAAGCACACCCTCTCTCCGTGGAACCAGCCTCTAGTGCCCCAAAGGTTGGGGACCTCTGATTTGCCGTGTCTCCCCTTCCCTGCAGTCACCCCAACATCCTGCGCCTCTACAACTACTTCCACGACAAGAAGCGGGTCTACCTGATCCTGGAATACGCCCCTCGGGGGGAGCTCTACAAGGAGTTGCAGAAGTACCAGCGCTTCGACGAGCAGAGAAGTGCCACGGTCAGCCGCGCTCTTGAGGACTGGACACTTGGATGGGGGGGGTTGTGTCCTCTTATGAGAAACGGGAGGTTTTGGGGGTCTCCACTTTTGGTGCACTCCAACTTCGGTTAACCGACAGGTCTGTCTTTCGTAATTTATTGAGAAGGGAATCTTTGTAGCTCAGGGCTGGACTGGGGAGGGGCTGGTCCTTGGGGCTCCCTCTGAGCTTGGTAGTTTTCTCGGAGACGTTTCATGACCCCAATAGGTAACATCATCAGTGTGAGGGCATGTGGGGTTTGTTCCTTATTTATATACTGTATAGTCCAGGGGTCTTCCAACTTGGCCCTTTGATGGCTTGTGGACTTCAACTCCCAGAATTCCTCAGCCAGCGTGCCTGGCTGAGGAATTCTGGGACTTGACGTCCACAAGTCTTAAAAAGGACGTTTGAAGACTCTTGGTATAGTAGCTTGCCCTGCCATTATTGGGGGGGGGGTGTTCTTGGTGGTGCCTTAATTAGGCATTTGTTAATTGGATAGACTTTACCATAGTTTCAATGTGGGGACGGTGAGCAAGCCAAGTCCAAGAATGGGAGAGAATTCCTGGAAACTGGGCTCTCTGACAAGTCAGCCATCAACAGGAACATGGAGATAAACCAACATATACATACTATGTAAAAGAGACAAAGACAAAAGACCACAAAACCTTGCCAGCAATCAATCCCCAGATAAGCAAGAGATTAACACCAAGGTTAAATACTGGACCAACGATCAAGCAGTTCCCCAATCAAGGAACTATCCACTCAGACAAACATGCTAACATTAAATAACCTGCCTCCTCTTCACAACTCCCCTCCCTTGTAGCACTGATGATGTTCCCTAGTTGGGTCATGAAATGTCTGCAAGGACCCCCCCCCAGCTCAGAGAGCACCGGTAGGACCCCCACAATAATTTATTTTATTTTCTATTGAGCCTGTGGGTTCGAACCAGTCTCTTCCCCTTCCTTCGTGCACCAAAGGGGCAGCTGGGCTGTTTCGGGCCTCGGAGAGGGTGGCATCGCCAACCCCCCCCCCTTTGCCCATCTCTGCAGTTCATAGAAGAGCTGGCCGACGCCCTCCTGTACTGTCACAACAAGAAGGTCATCCATCGCGACATCAAGCCCGAGAATCTGCTGATGGGGCTAAAAGGGGAGCTGAAGATCGCTGATTTCGGCTGGTCGGTGCACGCCCCCTCGCTCAGGTGAGTCGGCGGACCCCCCCCTCCCCAGGGTGGGCGATTTGAAGAGAAATCGGACGTGGAAGACGGAGCTCGCCTTCCGAATGTCTGCGGCGACCGCATCGGCAAACCGGAAGTCCAGGGTGGGCGATTCGGAGGGTCCAATGCTTCCTCTGGGCTTTCTCGGGAATCGCCGGCTTTGGTTAAGCCCCCCTTCCCCCCCATTGCTCCTCAGGAGGAAGACCATGTGCGGCACTCTGGATTACCTGCCCCCGGAGATGATCGAAGGCAAACCCCACAACGAGAAGGTGGATCTCTGGTGCATCGGGATCCTGTGCTACGAGTTCCTGGTGGGGACTCCGCCCTTCGAGAGCGAATGCCACTCCGAGACCTATCGCCGGATCGTGTCGGTGAGCCCGTCTGCTATCACGCAGGAGGTTCTGCCCGAGACTAGCTTAATTCAAGATAAAGGTCTATGGAGATCCTCAGTCCTCCAGGTCAGGGGTCCCCAACTTTTGGGCCGGTACTGGGCCGTGGCCTGTTGGCCACTGGGCCATGGCAATGGCTGGTGAGTACATGAATGTGGGTGTGAACACACCCCACTCGTGCTAGCACCGCCGTGCGAGCGCTAGCAGCCCATTTGCGCATGCACATGGGTGCTAGCGGCCCCTTTGCGCGTGTACCCATTTGCGGAGGCACGCACATTACCCTGCTCCTCCCTTTCCCTCCGGGCCACCAGGACACGGTTGTCCCAAAGGTGCTTTTTCCCAAGAGGCAACTGGACTTTTGCTTTTCCTTGAAGACGTTTCGCTTCTCATCCCAGAAGCTTCTTCGGTTCTGACTTAAACGAACCAAACCGAAGAAGCTTCTGGGACGAGAAGCGAAACGTCTTCAAAGGAAAAACAGTCCAGTTGCCTCTTGGGACATTCAAGACGAGGCTTTGCTGACTGAGGTAGGATTAAAATTCGCGACCTTTTGGTTTCTAGACCAGCCTCTTTCCCATAACACCAAATTGGCTCTCTTTCAATTTATTTACATATTTGTATTAATATATATATATATACACGTCCTAGATTACAACGGTTCGGTTAGTGACCAGTCGGAGTTACAATGGCGCTGAAAAAAGGGACTTATCACAATTAAGGACCTTTGCAGCATCCCCCCGTGGTCACGGGATCAAAACTCAGACCCTTGGCAACTGGCTCATATTTATGACGGTCGCGGCGTCCTGGAGTTGTGTGATCCCCCTTTTGCAAACTTCTGAACCAAGTCAATGGGGAAGTCAGATCTGCTGAACGCCCCACGTTACTAACTCAACAACTGCAGTGATTCACTTAAGAACCAGGGCGAGCAAGGTCGTAAAATGGGGCAAAACTCACTTCACAGCTGTCTTGCTTAGCAACGGAAATTTTGGCTGTGATTCGAGGATTCCCTGTTTGTTCCAGGCTAAGAAGCCTGTGATGATCGGATAAGTCAGTTTTCTGCTCTTGAACTAACCATGATGCCTGGGTTTCCAGGCAACCTGCTAAGCTAAAATAAGGTTTGCTGGTCTCAGTAACATCATCATCATCATCATCATAAAGTTGGAAGGGACCTTGGAGGTCATCTAGTCCAACCCCTGCTCAGGCAGGAAACCTTGTACCATTTTGGACCAATGGCTGTCCAGTCTCTTGTGAAAAACCTCCAGTGTTGGAGCATTCACTGCTTCTGGAGGCAGGTTGTTCCACTGGTTAATTGTTCTCACTGTCAGGAAGTTTCTCCTTAGTTCTAGGTTGCTTCTCTCCTTGCTTAGTTTCCACCTGTTGCTTCTTCTCCTGCCTTCAGGCGCTTTGGAGAATAGCTTGACTGCCTCTTCTTTGGGGCAGCCCCTGAGATACTGGAAGACTGCTATCCTGTCCCCCCTCGTCCTTCTTTTCATTAAACTAGACATACCCAATTCCAGCAGCTGTTCCTTATATGCTTTAGCCTCCAGTCCCCTAATAATCTTTGTTGCTTTTCTCTGCACTCTTTCCAGAGTCTCAACATCTTTTTTACATTGTGGCGACCAAAACTGGATGCCGTATTCCAAGTGTGGCCTTATCAAGGCCTTGTAAAGTGGTATTAACACTTCAGGTGATCTTGATTCTATCTCTCCATGCCTTGCTGTTTTAGCTGTATGCTCATTTTAGCTCCGCTTCCATTCCTTACAGGTCGATCTGAGGTTCCCCCCTTTTGTGACCGAAGGCGCCAAGGATTTGATTGTGAAGCTGCTGCGTCACAACCCAGCCGAACGTCTCCCGCTGCAAGCCGTGATGGAGCACCCTTGGGTGAAAACCCACTCCAAGCGGGTGCTACCCCCGGTTTTCAACCCGGTGTCCCTGAATTAACTCTGCCAGGAGGGACTGGGATACCCAGATGAACGGCGTCCCCAATGGATGGGGCTGCCAAGGATTTGGGGAGGGGGGCATTATTGCAGAGTTTGGGATAGGGACGTCTTTTCGGGATGGCAAACGTCCTTGCGCCCCAAGATTCGTACTTGAAGAGCTGATACAGACCAGGATCTCGTTTCGCAGAGCTTGGAAAATAAATTTGTGTGGCCACCTTCACCTGCGTGGGCAGCTATTCCTGGACATAGGAAAATCCCCTTTTGATGTCCTGATCTTGGCGGCTGATCCCTTCCTTCGGGATCATCCTGGATCTGTCACCGTGTGCTGGCCAGTTTCTTGATTCTTTTTTTTTTTTTTTAAGGAATAAGCCAACTATTTCCCAAATGGTATTGCTCGATCTCTGTGTGTATATATTTTCTAGGGAACTGTTGTAATTTTAATAAAACTTCCAGATTTGGCTGCTTTTTTGACTTTTTTCTCCCGATATCTATTTCTGGAAGTTACCCTGATGTTCCAAGACACGGCGAAAATGGAAATTGCCTGGATTGGCATCGGGGCCTTGGCACGATGTTTCGATTAACAACGGAAAGGATAAAACAAGAAATAGGAATTAAAATAGTCCTTGACTTACAGTCCGTTTGTTTAGTCACTGCTCGGAGTTACGACAGTGCTGAAACAATTGACTTATGGCTGTTTTTCCCAGCATCCCCTTATCACGTAATCAAAATAGGTTGCTTGGCAACTGATTCATATTTATGATGGTTGCAATATCCCAGGGTTGTGTGATCCCCTTTTAGAACAGAATAGAACTGGAAGGGACCTTGGAGATCTTCTAGTCCAGCCCCCTACTCAAGCAGGAGAAACTATACCATTTCAATTAATCAATGAATCAATGTGAATAGAGCTGGAAGGGACCTTGGAGGTCTTCTAGTCCAGCCCCTTGCTCAAGCAGGAGAACCCATACCATTTCAATTAAATCAATGAATCTGAGAATAGAGCTGGGGGGACCTTGGAGGTCTTCTAGTCCAGCCCCCTGCTCAAGCAGGAGACCCTAGACCATTTCATTTGATCAATCAGAATAGAGCGGGAAGGGACCTTAGAGGTCTTCTAGTCCAGCCCCCTGCTCAAGCAGGAGAACTCATACCATTTCAATTAATGTGAATAGAGCTGGAAGGGACCTTGGAGGTCTTCTAGTCCAGCCCCCCGCTCAAGCAGGAGAACCTATACCATTACAATTAATGAATCAATCGGAATAGAGCTGGACGGGACCTTGGAGGTCTTCTAGTCCAGCCCCCTGCTCAAGCAGGAGAACCCATACCATTTCAATGAATCAATGAGAATAGAGCTGGAAGGGACCTTGGAGGTCTTCTAGTCCAGCCCCCTGCTCAAGCAGGAGAACCTATACCATTTCAGACAATGAGGGGGGTTTTTTTGTCCCCCCCCCTCTCCACTTGGGAGGCTGCTGCCCAGTTTGGAGTGGATTTTATGGAAATTTTAGGGTGTTTTCCTTTGCTTCTCCCCTCAGAAAGGGAGTGAAAAAGGAGGCCCACCAAGATGGCGGCCTCCTCCTCCTTCCCCCTCCTCCTCTCCTTCCCCCGCCCCTCTCCGAAATGCCCGGATGTGACAGCTCGGCCGCCATTTTGCTGCCTCTGCCGAAGCGAGCAGCTTCATTCGGGGAGCGCGAGCCTCGCAGCCGCCGCCGCCGCCGCCGCCGCCGCCACTGACCGACCGCCCGCCAGCCAGCCACAGCCAGCGTCCTCCGAGATGTAAGTAGCGCCCGATGCAAGGCGGGCACCGGCGTGCAATGCTCCCCGGCTTGCATAACGGCAGGTGCACGCAAGAGCGCGGGGGATTCTCTCCGCCGTGCGGCTCAGCCGCCCACCCGCAATGGTGGTGGGGAGGGTCGCGTGTTTTTTGTGTGTTTTTTTTCCTAAATGGGGAAGGGTCGTTGCAAGGAGACGGACGGCGTGCACGGCTGCCCGGCTCGCATTGGACTGGGTGCATAGGCGAGCGGCTCTCCCTCCCACGCATTTTTCTGTTTTTGGCCTGGGGGGGGGGTCTTTTGGTGAAGGGCGTGAATGGGGAGGGGGCTAGCGAGAGATAAATACATAAAGCAACCTTGCTGTCCTTTTTTTTTTTGGATGCAATTTGATGCCTCCTTCTTGGTCTCTTGTCCCCCCTCCCCATCCAATAGTCTAAGGTGATGAAAGCAGGAGCGGTTCAGATCTAAGGGGGGGCTACTGCTGCCTTCATACACCCCCTCCCCAAAGAAAACACACACAAGGGGGGGACATGGCTTTAAGCTCTTTCCCTCCCCCCCCCGCCGGATCGCCGTCGCAAGAAACAGGGGCGCCCCCAATGAATAAACAGCTGCACCCCTAAAATGGAAGGTCCTTTTAAAAAACCCTTCCCCCCCCCAAAAAAAAGAATCTCGAAAACCGGGGAGATGACCCTCTCCAACGCCCCCCACCCCCCCTGGGGTGAAGAAAAGAAAAAAAAACCCTACAGGTACTATTGCATTAAAAAAAAAATTATTTATTCTTTCCCAGGAATAAATGAGGTCATCTTGCACGCTCCTTCTTCCCTTTTGTAAACGTGCAAAAAGAGGCGGGGGCTAGAAAGGGGAGCGGGGGGGGGGGAAGGCGATGCTGCCTTTTGAATGCAAAATGTCTTTTTTTGCATTTAAGGTTTTTAGAGCCCCCCCCCGCCTTTGATCTAGGGTGGAGCCATGCAATTTAATTGCACCCCTCCCGTTTTAAGACACATGTGTACGTATGCATGCATGCATGCATCTATATATGGATGGTCGTCTGGCTCTCATTTGTGCAAATTAACCAGGGGCGGGTCGTTGGGACCTGCTGAGCAAACCCCCTCCCCCCAAAGGGTGGAGAGGATCAAAAGCAGGGGGGAAAAAAAGCAGTATTTACTTCCCCGCCCTATTTTGCATACAGGTGGAAAGTGGGTGTGTTATTTGGGGGGGGGGGCTGTAAAAATGTCTTTTCTCCCCCCCCTGGGAATGGCTAAATGGTGAAAATTGGGGGGGGGGAGTATATACATTTGCAATAAGACCTCTGTTTCGAGCGGCCAGGAATGAACAAAAAAAACTGATGTGAAAGGAAGGGGCACCAAGAGGTGATTTTTCATTATTATTTTTTTAAATTTTGGGGTGGTGCCTCTTTAAGACAGTCGCATCCTCCCCTTTTGGAGTATTTTTAGATTTTGCAAACGGGCAGATGGAGGATGCTAAAAATATCAAACCCCCCCCCCCTTTTTTTTTCCCCTTTCCCCCAGGGCTATGGTTTTCCACGCACCCTTTGTGGTGGATGCGGTTGTTTGTCTGTTTATTTTCCTGGGTGTTGGGTGGGTGGGATGAGATCCGTCCTGTTTGGGCTTCTCAATCCCACCCCTAGGTGAGAATGCTCCGTTTAAGGATGCAAAAAAGAAAAAAAACTGGAATTTCAAAAGGGATGAAGGTGCATTAGTGGGAGTGGCTGGGGAGTGGGAGATGGGTAGAGGGGTGCTGCAGAAAATAATAATAATAATAGGTGTTTTGCCCCTGCCTAAAATGCAGGGTAAGGCAGAGGGGGGGGACATTTAGCTGGGAATGACAGCTTTTAACATCTGGATGGCACCGTATTGGCGATTGGAAAGGAAGTGGGAGAGCAGAGAAGCCATATTTTATTGGTGCTCCGGGTGGACTTCAACTCCCAGAATTCCCCAGCCAGCGTTGCTGGCTGGGGAATTCTGGGAATTGAAGTCCACCCGTCTTAAAAATAGCCCTGATTGAAAATTGCATGCTTGGGAGGCAGAATAAAACAGGAATGCTCCTTCTAAAGTTTCTAAAGATGCTCCTGGGATCGTGCAGAGCGCCGCCGTGTCGTTCTCGGAGGTCTGATGGGGAAAAAAAAAAAAAGCCACAGACCTCGTGGGAAATGGCTATTCTGCAATCTGGAACAGAAGCCCCGCTGCAAATTAAGCTGCTTTTTGACCGTTTGAATACAAGGCAAAAAAAAAAAAAAAAAAGCCCAAATCTGACAACATCCGTGATTATCAAGTGGGATTTAAGGGGCCTCCAACCTCTTAACGTGTTGCGATAAACTGTTTTTTATTATTATTATTATTATTATTTTCTAACAAGGGGATTGAATGGAAAGACTGCATGGAATAAACACCGGCGGCCTCCTGCAGGTGCTGAATCATCACGGGCAAAAAAAATAATAAATCGGAAATATTCAGTTCGTTCTTCCTCGCAAGCGTATCGCAGCTCCCCCCCCCCCGCTTTTTTTAAAGGCCGCTTTTATTCATTTTAATTCATTAAATCGATCGGCCGCCCGTCTCGCCGTCAAGAAAGGAAGCCCAAACACACCGTGCCCTAATTTCGTTTTTTTTTTAAAAAAAGAGGCGTTCCATTCTTTTCTGTAATAATCGAATTTTTTTTCCTTGCAAAGAGTGGCTTTATTAGCAATTTGCCCCCCAACCCTGGGACCCTTTTTTGCACCTTCCTTCCGTGCTTCGCTCCCAACTGCTGCGTGTGATCCGTATTTTCATCCTTTAAAAAGGAAAATCCGGCACCTCCAATTGCAGAATTCTGATTTTTGCTTTATAAACAATCGCAAAAAGACAGCAAAGCCCTGAATTTGGAGATGGAGCGTTCGCTGTAATGAAAAAGGACGTTGTGATCTAACAGAGGCGGTTGAGGTTAGCTTGGCTTTCCGTGAAAAACCCACAAAACCCTCATTTCTCCAATCTTTTCCTTCCTCTCTTCAAAAAAAAAAAAAAAACATAATATAACCAGCTGGGAGAAAGCCACAATAATGTGGTGTTTTTTTTTCCCCTTCCCCCTTTTGTCGGTGGGATTCGAATTCGCAATCTCCGTGGGTGGATCTGACTTAAATCTGGGCCGACAGCCGGATCTGCAGAGGGCAGAGAGACTGATAGCGTGACCGGGCCGAACAAAGCCTCTTGTTAACAAAGCGCTCGGCCAGTTGAACTGCAGCCTGGGTGATTCTTCACAATTGTTTCTGCTTTTGTAGACAATGAGATGCATTCTTGGTGGGTTGTGTCATACTCACAAGGCTGGTTTGAATGGTTCGGCCTTATACAGAATAACCGCTGGGTCAGTGTGACTCAACCTCAGTGAGTTTAAGAGGGGTGGACTTCAACTGGGGGATTCTGGGAGTTGAAGTCCACCCCTCTGAAACTCACTGAGGTGCAGAAACTCTGCAAAAATAATAATAAAATGAATTGTTCCTAAATCCAGCTTGGTTTGCCTCGCCTCTTAAGACTCAGCCACTCACCTTGGCGAGACTCAGATAACTTTTGAGTCTTTTCTCTCTTCTTGGTCTCCTTTGTTTCGGTTTATTTCCCACTAATAATAAAAATCCAGATTTTATTTATTTACTTATTTTGCTTGCCACCCTTGAATGTGTGTGTGGCTTTCTCGGCAGTTGTGGTCATTGTTAAGTGGGCGATTGGTGTTGTGTCTGTTTCCATACAACAACCCAGTATCTGAATTTATTTTTATTTATTTATTTATTTATTTATTTATATATGTGTTTGTGGATGGATGGATGGATGGAGAGAGAGAGAGAGCGAGATAGATATCAATAGATAGAGATAGATAGATAGATAGATAGATAGATAGATAGATAGATAGATAGATAGATAGATAGATAGATAGATAGATGGATATAAATAGATTAGATGGATAGAGATAGGGATAGATATAGATAGATATAGATATAAATTGAGATAAATATAAATAGAGAGATAGATAGATAGAGATAGATATAAATATAGAGATAGAGATAGATATAGATATAAATAGATAGAGATATTGAGATAGATATAGATAGAGATAGATATAGATATAAATAGATTAGATGGATAGAGATAGGGATAGATATAGATAGATATAGATATAAATAGAGATAGATAGATAGATAGATAGATAGATAGATAGATAGATAGATAGATAGATAGATAGATAGATAGATAGATAGATATCTACATTTATATAGATTCATTTTTTCCCCCTTAGGAAATATTTTTTGGTACCCATGCCTGCTCCGGAAATATTTATGAATATTTACTACCCTGAATTAACGGTTTTACAGGGTCATAAAAAGACAGTTTGTTGATTTGTTTGTTGGTATCCCGCTTTATTATTTTTACAAATAACGCCAGGCAGGAGATACGTCTCATATTTTCTTGGCAAACGGATGACTCCGTTCGAAGCCCGGCTTGTTATTGGCGCGTCTGCTTCTTTTTAAAATGTGGATTTTAACACGTTTCAAGCTTTTGCCTCCTGTTTTGGGGATTGAGTGGCTGGGATTTCCCCCCCTTTTTTTCCCTTTTTTCTTTTTGCATGCCCATGGGAGCCACAGCGAGCAGCAGTAAATAGATTTATATCCTAATATATATTTAGCCCTCACATCGTCAATAAAATTAGGAATGACTGTAAATAGACTGCCAGTTCTTGAATATAAATGGGAGGTTTCTGGCTGTTCAATGCAGAGCCCCCTATCTGTATAAAGATATATATATATATTTATTTGATAGCGATTTCCTAACCTGGTTACTTCTGGCAATTTCATTCCACAGCCTGGGAAAAGAGCTGGTTTATTTGACAACGGAAGGATGGTGCTTCAGGTGCATTGAACTAAACCAGTGGGCCTCCATCCCTGGGGGGGGGGGGTTAAGAAGAGGCTGGACAGTCACTTCTCTGAGATGTTTTCCTGCTTGAGCAGGGGGCTGGACTAGAAGACCTCCAGGGTCCCTTCCAGCTTCTATTCTATCCTGCTCTATTTCTATTTCCTATTCTGTTCTCTATTCCATTCTATTCTATTCTATTGTATTCTGCTCTATTTCTATTTCCTATTCTGTTCTATTCTCTATTCCATTCCATTCCTTCTCTTCCTATTCTATTCTGCTCTATTTCTATTTCCTATTCTGTTCTGTTGTATATTCCATTCTATTCCATTCCACCCCACCCTATCCTATCCCATCCCATCCCATCCTCGGTTTTCACGGTGAGGACTAGTAACTTGGGCAGTTTTTACAAAAGAGGAGATAGCTTTGCAAGTGGCCGGGGTTTAAGCGCTTAAATTCTCTGCCTTGCTTTGGGCTTCCTAACAAGCTCTTGGTCGCATCTGGAAGGGTTGGTCCGGATGGTGTTGCTTATTGGCGGGGTGATGTGCGTGCGTGTCTCGGGATCAAAGCTGTCGGCGATGTCACGGTGGGGACCTCGTGCGCCAGTCCAACTCCGAGCATCCTTAGTCATCTTTGAACAGAAGCATTGAAATCCTACCGCGTTCCCAGAAGTGGCCACTGAGTCATCCTGTTGGTTGCAGGAAGGTTGACTGCAAACTCAACCAGAGGGGAGGGGGGATCCGGCTCCGTCTGGGGAGGGGGGCTGGAGGAAGGCAGATCGTGTCTTTTTTTTTTTTTTTTTTGGGTAGATTATTGGGGTGGATGGGGAAAAATCCTTCTGAAAATATTAGAATGGAATGGAATAGAAATAAGGAATAGAATAGAAATAAGGAATAGAATAGAATAGCATAGCATAGCATAGCATAGCATAGAATGTATGGAATAGAATAGAATAGAATAGAATAGAATAGAATAGAATAGAATAGAATAGAATAGAATAGAATAGAAAATATGGAATGGAATGGAATAGAATAGAATAGAATAGAACATGGAATAGAACGGAATAGAACGGAATAGAATAGAATAGAATAGAATGGAATAGAACGGAATAGAATAGAATAGAATAGAATAGAATAGAATAGAAAATATGGAATGGAATGGAATAGAATAGAATAGAATAGAATAGAATAAAATAGAATAGAATAGAATATAAATTAGCATAGTATAGCGTAGCATAGCATAGAATAGAATGTATGGAATAGAATATATGGAGTGGAATAGAATAGAATAGAATAGAATAGAATAGAATAGAATAGAATACCGAATAGAATACCGAATGGAATGGAATGGAATGGAATAGAATAGAATAGAATAGAATTGGAATATGGAATAGAAATATGGAATAGAGTAGAATAGAATAATGATAAGAATGGATTGGAATATGGAATAGAATAGAATAGAATAGAAATATGGACTAGAGTAGAATAGAATAATGATAAAAATAGAATAGGATGGGATGGAATGGAATGGAATATATGAAATGGAATGGAACGGAACACAACAGAACAGAATAGGTGGAGTGGAGTGGAGTAGAATTACAGAACAGAATAGAATAGCATAGAATGGGACCTTAGAGGTGTTCTAGTCCAGCCCCTGCTCAAGCAGGAGAACCTATCCCATCTCAGACAATTCATTTTGGGGAGAAACCCCTGAAGTTTCTGTGTCAAGAGTTGGTCCATCTCTCTGACTCTCCCTATCATCCATCTATCTATCATCTATCTATCATCTATCATCTATCATCTTTCTATATATATATATTTATCTCTATCACCTGCCATCTAGCTATTATCTGTATCTATTCTCTCTCTCTCTCTCTGTCCATCCATCTATCTACCTACCTACCTACCTATCTATGTCTGTCTGTCTATGTCTATCTCTATTATTTATCTGTCTGTCTGTCTGTCTGTCTGTCTGTCTGTCTGTCTGTCTGTCTGTCTATCTATCTATCTATCTATCTATCTATCTATCTATGTCTATCTCTATCTATCTATCTATCTATCTATCTATCTATCTATCTATCTATCTATCTATCTATCTATCTATCTATGTCTATCTCTATCTATCTATCTATCTTATTATCATCATCATCATTATTATTATTATCATTATTATTATTTTGACTGATGAAGTTTCTTGGATGAGCAGCGAAACATCTCAGATTAACAAATTCTGGTCCAGTTGCCACGATTCAATCTTTTAGTTATTTTGTGCCTGGATGATTGAGTCTGGCATTGGCTTATATTTCTGAAAATGAAGGATTTCTGAGCAGCCGTTTGGATCTGCTAGCTAGACAGAATTCGGCTTCGGTGCTAAAAACCCGGCTGCCTTTTATGAAAGGTCAGCCAAATTCAGTGAGTCCGAATGTAACCTATTATCTATCCAATACAGGCAGTCCTTGACGTACAACCGTAAATAAGCCCAAAATTTCTGTTGTTAAGCGAGTTTTGCCCCATTTTTATGACATTTCTTGCCACCGTCGTTAAGCGGATCGCTGCTTAAGGTAGTGACACCGTTGTTAAGTGAATCCGGCTTCCCCTCCCCCTTGACTTTGCTTGTGAGAAGGTCGTAAAAGGGGACACCGCGACCGTCATAAATGTGAATCAGTTGGCAATCATCTGAATTTTGATCCCCTGGCCACGGGGACGCTGCAACAGTCGTAAAGTGTGAAAAACGGTCGTAAGTCATTTTTTTCACTGCTGTTGGAACTTTGAACGGTCACTTAATGAACTGTCGTTAAGTGAGGACTACCGGTATAATTTTTCCCTGCTCTTCTTCGGCCCAGATTCCCCATTCCGAAGAAGCTTCTTTCAAGGACAAAAAAAAAAACAAACCAAAAAGCCAAAACACTCTAGTTGCCTTTTGGAAAAACAATCTGTTCTTTGGGCCAGGGTTGGACTAGATGACCTACAAGTTCCCTTCCAACTCTGTTATTTTCCAAGCTACGGGTAGTCCTCGCCTGAACGACCGCAACTGAACCCCCAAATTTCCATCGCTCAGGAAGACAGTCGTGAAGTGACTCGCGCTATATTTTATGCCCTTTTTCCCCCCGCCACAGTCGCTAAGCGAATTGCTGCCGTCCTTAAGTGAATTGTACGGTCGTTAAATGAATCCGGCTCCCCCCCCCATTGGCTTTGCTTGTCGGAAGGTTGCAAATAGTGATCAGGTGACCCTGGGACGCTGCAACCCGTCGTAAATAACGTGCCCGTTGTCAAAGGCTCACGTTTTCATCACAGGACTGTGGAAACGCAACGGTCGTAAGCGCGAGGACAGGTCATAAGTCAGTTCGTCAGCGCCCTTGAAACTTTGAACAGGCACTAAACGAATGGTCGTAAGTTGAGGACTTTAACTCCCAGCTGGGATCTTCAAGCTTGGCCCTTTGATGACTTGTGGACTTCAACTCCCAGAATTCCTCAGCCAGGCAAGCTGGCTGAGGAATTCTGGGAGTTGAAGTCCACAAGTCATCAATGGGTCATAGTTCCCTCACGCTGGCTGAGGAATTCTGGGAGTTGAAGTCCACAAGTCATCAATGGGTCATAGTTCCCTCACGCTGACTGAGGAATTCTGGGAGTTGGTTCACAAGTCATCAAAGGATCATAGTTCCCTCACGCTGGCTGAGGAATTCTGGGAGTTGAAGTCCACAAGTCATAAAAGGGTCATAGTTACCTCACGCTGNGGCAGGACTGGCCTAGGGGTATTTTAAATTGGTTTTAATCAAATTTTTAGTAGAAGCGGCCAAATTTGAATATTTATTTTTAATCATTTTTAAATTTTGTATTGTATTGTATCATTGTTTTAAACTGGCTGTAAGCCGCCCTGAGTCCTCCGGGAGAAGGGCGGGGTATAAATTTAATAAAATCAAAAATCAAATCAAAATCAAATCAACTCCCAGAATTCCTCAGCCAGGCAAGCTGGCTGAGGAATTCTGGGAGTTGAAGTCCACAAGTCATCAATGGGTCATAGTTCCCTCACGCTGGCTGAGGAATTCTGGGAGTTGAAGTCCACAAGTCATCAAAGGATCATAGTTCCCTCACGCTGACTGAGGAATTCTGGGAGTTGGTTCACAAGTCATCAAAGGATCATAGTTCCCTCACGCTGGCTGAGGAATTCTGGGAGTTGAAGTCCACAAGTCATAAAAGGGTCATAGTTCCCTCACGCTGGCTGAGGAATTCTGGGAGTTGAAGTTCACCAGTCATCAAAGGGCCAAGTTTGAAGACCCCTGTTCTACAGTCTGATTCCAAGCCTTTGGAACATCTTGTCACCTAACGAAGATATTTCCAATTTTCTTTTCATCATGTAGAGATGACTCCTACTACTACTAATGTACTATTACACTACTACTGTACTACTAATCTTGGTTTGTTAATCCCTTTCCAAGGATTAAGCATAAAGCTCTTTTTCTTAACGCCATCCCTCTAATTACCCAGCTATTCCCACTCCTGTCTGAACGGGGCCCTTTTATTCAGCTGAAACTCTCAAAGGCGAGCTAGGCCTATATATTTTAAGGAAGCACTTCCAAAATGAGAAGAAATTTCACATTACACCTTTAAAATGACTAGCATAAAAGAGGGGGTTTGAGGGGAAGGTGGGAGAAGGCTGGGGAATTCTGGGAGTCGAAGTCCACCCAGCTTAAAGCAGGCTGGCTGGGGAATTCTGGGAGTTGAAGTCCATCTTAAAGCAGGCCAGCTTGGGAATTCTGGGTGTCAAAGGCCACCTATCTTAAAGAATGCTGGCTGGGGAATTCTGGGAGTCAAAGGCCACCCATCTTAAAGCATGCTGATTGGGGAATTCTGGGTGTCAAAGACCACCTATCTTAAAGAATGCTGGCTCGGGAATTCTGGGAGTCCAAGTCTGCCCATCTTAAAGCAGGCTGGCTAGGGAATTCTGGGAGTCGAAGTCCACTCATCTTAAAGCAGGCGGGCTGGGGAATTCTGGGAGTTGACATCTGCCTGTTTTAAAGCATAATATCTGGGGAGTTCTGGGAATTGAAGCCCCCTCCTCTTAAAGCAGGCTCTCTAGGGAATTCTGGGAGTTGAAGTCCACTCATCTAGCCCCAAATGTGGCGCCCGATCAGGGATTTGAATCAGCCCTGCCTGTTCCCATTCACAAGAAGGGTTCCAAGGACTTTCTTAGGCCTGCACCTGTCCTTCCCAACGTCGTCGATGCCTAGAACGGGCGGCCTCCACTTCCCAGAACCCTCAGCAGGGGCTAGCTGGCTGGGGGATTCTGGGAACTTAAGAACAAGACTTAGTTAGATAGGTACTTCCTGCCTATGATTTTTTTTTGTTGAGGTTGGATTAGCGAGAAACGGTTGCAACGAATGGGTCCCAATTCAGCCTCTCAGACCCCAACAGGGGGGTTTCTCCAGATTCAGATGGGCCTCTTTGCACCTGTAGGGAAGGGGTCTTTCAAACCCATAACCCCCCCCCCTTTGTTTTTAAGCTGACGTGTGTGTGTGGGAAAAAAATCACACCCTCTTTGTCTTCTTTCAGGTCGGCTAATACTGCTGTACCACCCGCGGCTGCCGGGGGAGAGGCCGGGGGTCCTCCCCCCCCACCGCCCAACCTCACCAGTAACCGGAGGCTCCAACAAACCCAGGCTCAAGTGGATGAGGTGAGGATTCTGGGAGTTGAAGTCCACGCTAGGGGAGGGGAACGTGGCTCCCGAGGTTTTGAGGATGAGGTGGTGGTGGTGGGGGCATCTTGTGCCTCTATTTTTTGTTAAGGTTTGATTTCCCACCAGCATTTGCAATACCAATGATTTTCTCAATATTAATTACATTTATATTAGCGTGTACATTATATTAACATAGACATTAACCTTCTCAGTTGGTTTTTGATTGATGTGAAATAAAGGCATACTCCTCAATTTACTTTGGCTTTAAAAATGACCTTGAGCTCAATCTCCACAGACCGGGGTGGGTTTGGGGGGGTATAATAGGAATTGGGGGGGGGGCTCTGGGAAATCTACCTCTCCTTTAGTCAGTTGTACTGTGTGTCAATCTTCTCGACTTCTGTGTGGTCCTTGGTGCCCCCTCTGAGCTTGGCGGTTTCCTTGCAGACGTTTCAGGACCCGACTAGGGAACATCATCAGTGCTTTATGTTTATAGAGGACTTCTGGTTTTGCGCCCGTAGCATATGGCTGCGGGAGAACGGACCTCCGCTCCCCATGGCTAGTTTCGCCCTGCCAGGGGAACCCTAGATGGGTCCGAAGTCACCCCAAAGAGGTGACAGTGAACGAGGGGGCGCCCCGGTGATCACAAAGCGACGGCGGTCGCTTTGTTTGATCCGGGGGAAGCCCTCCGACCCAACAGGAGAAAGGCTAGCGTGAGATCAGCGTCTAGCCTGAGCTACTTGCAGCCGAAGTCCCAGAGCACGAACCTGAACATCGGTGATCTGTGTGCTTGGAATTGGTGAGAGTATTGATCTTCTTTCTTCTATCTACGAATTGAATCCTTGAGAAAGATCCCCAAAGCAAGAAAACCTCCGGAACGGGAGGGAGGGGACGATATCCCCATTCCCTTATAGATGGAAGCGGCGAATTAAAATTAAGGAGGAAAGAGAGATACTAAAATTCGATTTAGAAATATTTTTTAAATGTTATTTACTCTTTCATTGTTTATCCCAATTGGTAGTTCCTTGGTTGGGGTATTGCTTACTTCTTGGTCTCCTGTTAATCTCGGGGTTAACCCTCCGCTCTTCTCTCGGCTTCGGCACGTGGTTCGTGGTTCTTTTGCTGCCTTCTGCTACGTCTCTCACCTTCTCCCTGCCATCTCTCTCTTTCCCTCCAGGTCGTGGACATCATGCGAGTGAACGTAGATAAGGTCCTCGAGAGAGATCAGAAGCTTTCGGAGCTGGACGACCGTGCCGATGCCCTTCAAGCCGGAGCGTCCCAATTCGAAACCAGCGCCGCCAAGCTTAAGCGCAAATACTGGTGGAAGAACTTAAAGGTAGGATGGGTGGGGTGGGGTGGGAGAACGACCTCCTCGCCCACAAACTTCGTTGCCTCTTTCCCTTTAGCCAAAGGATCAACCTGATCTTGATTTGGAGACCCCGTGTAGTCTTCTCCCTCGGAAGCGCAGCCGGCATCCGGCGAAGACCTCTGAGGTTAAAGAGATTGTAATAGAATCATACATTCAGAGTTGGAAGGGACCTTGGAGGTCATCTAGTCCAACCCTTTACTCAAGCAAGATGATGATGATGATGATGATGATGATGATGAAGTTGGAAGGGAGCTTAGCGGTCATTTACTCCAAGCCCCTGCTCAGGCAGGAAACCCTATCCCATTTCAGACAAATGGCTGTCCAGTCTCTTCTTAAAAACTTCCAGTGTTGGAGCATTCACCGCTTCTGGAGGCAGGTTGTTCCACTGGTTAATTGTCCTCACTGTTAGGAAGTTTCTCCTTAATTCCAGGTTCTTGGAAGCGAGCACCAGATAAGACTATTAAATTAAATAAACGGAACCCTGGATTCTTGAGTTCAAAGGACCTTGCATCACTCCTCTAGGGAATAACAGAGTCAGGAGGGACCTTGGAGGTCTTCTAGTCCAAACCCCCTGCTCAAGCAAGAGACTCTAGACCAGGGGTAGGCCACCTTGGCCCTTTTATGACTCGTGGACTTCAACTCCCAGAATTCCTGAGCCAGCCATGCTGGGGGGAAAGGGAGAGGTTTCCAAGCTGAGCCATGCTGGCTCAGGAATTCTGGGAGTTGAAGTCCAGAAGTCCTCAAGGGAGCCATAGTTCCCCCATGCTGGCTCAGGGATTCTGGGAGTTGAAGTCCACGAGTCATAAAAGAGCCAAGGTTGCCTACCCCTGCCCTATACCATCTCAGACAGTCTCTTTTTAAAAGCCTGCTGGGATGGAGTGCCCATGATTTCTGGTGGCAAGCCGTTCCACTGGTTAATTGTCCTCCATGTTAGGAAGTTTCTCCTGAATTCCAGGTCGCTTCTCTCTTGGGTCAGATTGCAGCCAATTCAGACCGCTCACACGCCTGTCTTTCCTTCTTTCTCACGGCAGATGATGATAATCCTGGGGGTGATATGCGCCATTATCTTGATCATCATCATTGGTGAGTGACCCTTTGCCAAAGGCGGGGCGGTGGGGAGGCAACGAGGGACAGGAAAAGGCCCTTAAGTGTGGGCTCTAGAATTGAGCCCCATTTGGAAATTGGCTGCCGGGAGATTGACCCAAATTATCGCAAAGCCCTTCGTTGTCGTTCCTCCGTTTTTGCCAAGACTTAAGGTTGCCAACGATGGCGGACAATATTGGTAAAAATTCGCTTTTTACGTTTCGTCCTCGACTGGCTTAAACGACCGTTCAAAAGTCAGCACAGCACTGAAAAAAAGCGAATTACGCTTTTCACACTTAAAAGGACCCTCGCAGCCTCTCCCGGGGTGTGTGTGTGTGTCACGTGATCCAAATTCCGACGCTTGGCAACTGACTCGTGTTTACGACGGCCGTGGCGTCCCGGCGTAGTCGCACGATCCCCTTTTTGCGACCGTCTGAGCCACAAAATCAGAGGGGAGGAAAGCCGGATTCACTGACTAAAAAAAGATGATCAAAGTGGGCCAGTCACGGGAGCAACTCGTTTTGCGACCTAACGGCCATATATTATTTCCGTCGTATGTCGAGGACTCCCTGTAAAATATCCCTTTTTTTTCCTCTCTCTCCTTTTTCTCCGCAGTTTACTTCAGCACTTAGTGGAACTTCTCCGAGACGTTTTCCCCATCCAGGAACAGCGGCCGGGAGAGGCGCACGGGGCCAAGTCTTCCAGCGCCAGCTTCCCCTCCATATACCCCCCTCGCCCCCCCTTACCCCTCCCTCTCCGCTCCCTCCCCTCCCCCGTGTGTGTGAGTGTGCGTTGCGTGTGGGTGTCTTGTAAATAGCCCGATTTGTTATTTATACCTATACATATATACATATACATATATATATATATACATAAAATATATATATATTATATTATATTATATTTTGTCTGTTTGTAGATTTCTATCTAGACTTTCTATGTGTCCCCGCGGCCCCGGGTTTGCCCCCCCCGGTGTTTTTTCAGTGTCTTTGATTTTTAATGACAACCCTGCGAGGACCAAAACTCGCCTGCCGGATTCTGCCCTCCGTATCCCCCCTTCCCCAATTCGGTGGGCTCCCGACCCCCTTTTTTCCCCCCTCCCGGGGAAATTGCCACGCTGAGCACGCCCGGCCTTGGATTGTGTTTCCTCCCCCTCCCAAAATAATCTGGAATCTGGAAGATCCTTAGTAAGAAGCCGGCTAGTTGGGGGGTACGAAGTTCTCCCTCTTCGGAGTCACTCCCCCGTTTTACTCTCTTCGGCCATGCTGCTAGTCCTCAGCGTCTTTGCCATTTCTCCTCCCATCTTACCCTTTCTCTCCCGTCCCCCCGGGGCCTGCCTGGTGATCTCCTCTTAAACCTTTTTTAGTTTATTAACTTGAATTCGACTTGTACTGCCAGTTTTTTTTTTTTTGTTTGTTTTTTGGGGTCCCCTAAGTGTCTCAGCTCGCCTGGCGTTGGGGAGTTAGCGCCGTCGCCTCTCCCGGGGGAAGGGGGGCGGTCCCGAGTGCGAATCCTCCCGCCCCCCTGCACGGCGTTCTCTTTTTCCTCCTCCGGACCACGGTGGGATTTTTTTAACTGCCATTCACACTCTTGTTGTAGAAACCGTTCCTCTCTCTCTGTCTCTCTCTCTCCCCGTTGTTTTGATTTTCGGAACAACGGGCGACGACGACGACGCGGCGAGCGTGTGATTCTTTTACATTCCACTCGTCCTTCTCCCAAAGGAGAGACGAGAAGACCAGTTTCCCCCTCTTATAGGACCTGTGTTTTCTTGCGATCACTGCCTCAAACCCGTAAGGAGTCGTGTGCCTGTGGGTGGGTGTGCATGCGTGGGTGTGTACGTGTGAATACAATAAGAGCAATGGAGGAGGAGCAGAGGGGAGCTCCCGCCCGTCTCCTCGCGGAAGACGCAAAAGAGCATTTGCTGAACAGAACAAAAATCAGCAGATTTGGCGACCCCGGCGTTCGTGGCGGCTCGTTCCCGGGACCGGGATAGACCCTTCCCGGCCGGTCCTGAGAACGAAACGAGGGCTGCGCCGCGTTCTAATCCTGCGGTGAAGTTCTAATTTATTCTTAAGGATTCATTTTTATTTTTTTTTTGTCGGCGCCGTTCTCTTTCTCGACGAAGGTGGGTTTAAAAGCAGGAGACGGAAACGGCTCGGTATGAATGGCTGTGGATAACAGACACCCCCTCCTCCTCTTCCTCTTCCTCTTTGTGCGCCCCCTCCCCAGTGTTGGCCCTGTCCAAAGCCTGGCCACTTTTCAGCTTTGCAAAAAACGTCGTAGTTGTGATCCTTGTGACGAGTGACCACCTCCTCAACCCCCCCCTCCCGTTTTCAGCACAAACTGCCATGTTTCCTGGGCCTGTAGGCTACCTGTGAGGTTTTTTTTAAAAAAGCGTTTTTTGGGGTGGGGGGGTACACCCGCCCCCTTCCCTGGCCTTCCCTCTCCTCTTCCCCCCCTCCCACTTCCTCCCCAAAACAGGAGGAAACAGCTGTATCCTGTCTGTACACAAATTGCCCCCCCCTGGGGTCAAGGAAATCTTTTTGAAGAGGAAGAAACGAAGAGAACAACAAGACGTCTGCAAAAACATTGGGGATACGGAGGGGTCCTCGGCAGGAGAACCCCCGGTCCAGATGCCCTGCTGGGGGGGGGGAAGAAAAAAAAAAGGATTTTGGGGCTGTGGGGAGGGGGGAAAGATGACCTGCCTGGGAAAAGGGTCAGGAATGAAAGGGGCAGAAGTGAAAAAAAATTTGGGAAGGTCTCCTGGCTCCTAGTTTGGAGGGACGACGGAGCGAGGAGAACTTGAACGGTTTGAGTGTGGCCTTCACTTCCATCCTCAAATTCTCAAGCTGGAGGGGGAGCCTTCTTCGGGGTGATCTCCTGGGGAGAGAAGAATGGGGGGGTGACCACACCTTGAGAAATGGAGTCCCAGGGGACGGAAGGGACGGGTCCTTGACGCATCGTCTTCCATATATAGTCTAGGAGAAGAGCCGTCTACGGTAGGAGGACACTGGAGCTTCTTCTCAAAAATTACATTATTATTAAAAGGCAGATTGGTTTTTTTGGGGGGGACAAGCTTTGCTGGGTGTTTGGGGGAGCTCCAATGTTTTTTGGGGGGTTGAGGGGGACACAAGTCCCCCGATTGTGAGTTCGATTGTGAGTCCAGGAACGGTTGTGGGTCTTTCTTCGCACGTTGGCGCTGTCCGCTGTGCTGAAAAAGCAGCTTTGGAGTGGCCTTTTAATCAAAGCGACTTGGCATTTAAAGGAGCTCCTGAAATCCTGGTGAAATAGCGTAAAGTGGCTATTTTTTTCTCCCCCCCCCCCTCCAACTTAAACCCACATTTTTAACATGGGTGGGCTTCAGCCCCCAGCCCAGCCAGTTTGACATAGCCAGCCGAGATGGCCGGGGAATGCTGGGAGTTGAAGTCCACCCGTCTTTTAAGTGTGCCAAGGTTGAGGAATGATTGGAAGAGAGAAAGGGGTAAGGCAGGGGGTAGGCAACCCCCTGGTGTAAAGGATTTATATGTGGATGGGGGGCGCTTGGGAGGAAGAAAAGGGGCTGCCCCTCTCCAGTTGGCCAGCAGGTGTCGCTGTGGACGCGTGACTTGCCCAAGGAGATGGGAAAAAGAGGAGAAAAAACAAAATAAACCAGAATTAAAAGGGAATAAAGTTGATCCCAGCCAAAGCCGAAGCAGACTAAGGGCAGGAAGGAAGTTTCCTTTGAGTAATTTGCCCAGCCAGCCCTCAGCAGGAGGGAAAAAAAAAAAAAGAGGGGGGGTTTAAGATCCAAATCTGGGATACAAGCAGGAGTTTTTTTGACTATGCTGTGAAAAAGAAAACAAAACAAACGAGAAAGAACTCCTTGATATTTGGAGAGAGACAAAAATAAAAACCTAACAATAAATAAATGTCCTGTGGAGAACGCCCCGAGGCTTTGTCTATTTTTTATTTTTTTTAAATTTATTTCTCTTAAGTGGGTTTTTTTTGGGGGGGGGCAAAGAGGGAGGGGGGTCTCCCCGAAAATGGTACTCTTTATCAAATGCTTAATGGGGATGGGGACGGAGTTGGTGGGGCAGCGAGTGAGCGATCAGGCCGGGGAAAAAAAATGGATTTCTGTGCTTTTGATTTTTGCCTTCTGGAAATAAAGGGACTTTTAGGGGAGATGGGCAATGGAGGTCAGCCTTGCGTTTTCTATCTGTATAACAGTCACAGGATAAAGTTCCTTCTTTCCTTCCTCCTCCCTTTACCTCTTCTTTCCTACCGTCCCTTTTCCCTACTCTCTCTCTTTCCTTCTTTTTCCCCCTCGCTCCCTCCTCTACATTGAACTTTTTTCCTTCCTTCCTTCATCCCTTTCCTTCCTCTCCCTTTATCCTTTCCTTTCTCCCTTCCCTTCTTCCTTCCGTCTTCCCTTTCCTTCTTCCTCCCTTTACCTTCCTTCCGTCCCTCTTCCCTTCCTCTTTCCTTTTTCCCTCCTCCCTCCCTCCCTCTAGAACTGTTTTCTTCCTTCATCTTTTTCCTTCCTCTCCCTTTATCCATTCCTTCCTCCCTTCCCTTCTTCCTTCCGTCTTCCCTTTCCTTCCTCCCTTTACCTCTTCCTTCCGTCCCTCTTTCCTTCCTCCTTCTTTCCCCCCTCCCTCCCCTATCTTGAACTGTTTTCTTCCTTCATCCCTTTCCTTCCTCTCCCTTTACCCCTTCCTTCCCTTCTCCTTCCTTCCGTCTTCCCTTTCCTTCCTCTCTTTACCTCTTCCTTCCCTTCTCCTTCCTTCCGTCTTCCCTTTCCTTCCTCCCTTTACCTCTTCCTTCCGTCCCTCTTTCCTTCCTCCTTCTTTCCCCCCTCCCTCCCCTATCTTGAACTGTTTTCTTCCTTCATCCCTTTCCTTCCTCTCCCTTTACCCCTTCCTTCCCTTCTCCTTCCTTCCGTCTTCCCTTTCCTTCCTCTCTTTACCTCTTCCTTCCATCCCTTCTTCCTCCCTCCCTCCCTCCCTCCTCTACCTTGAACTTTTTTCTTCCTTCATCCCTTTCCTTCTTCTCCCTTTACCCCTTCCTTCCTTCCTTCCTTCCTTCCTCTTTGCCCCCTCCTCTACCTTTACCTTTTTCCTTCCTTCCTTCCATTTAAAAGGTGTCAAAGAAAGTAGACCGAAGGATTAAATGTCGCGCCTGCTGTCAGGTGGATGAGTTTCCTTTGCATCCAAGGGAAAATATGGATTTGAATAGACCAGAGCAGGGAATTGGTGAAACAGACCTTCCATTTTTGCAAACTGCAAGGAGAGGGGAGCACGGCAAACCTCAGATCAACCAGCCAAATCTTGGAGTGAACGCTTTGATTTAAGGGGCAAAAAAGACTCCGGAAAGAGTGCAGAGAAGAGCAACAAAGATGATTAGGGGACTGGAGGCTAAAACATATAAGGAACGGCTGCTGGAATTGGGGATGTCCAGTCTAATGAAGAGAAGGACGAGGGGGGACAGGATAGCAGCGTTCCAGTATCTCAGGGGCTGCCCCAAAGAAGAGGGAGTCAAGCTGTTCTCCAAAGCGCCTGAAGGCAGGAGAAGAAGCAACAGGTGGAAACTAAGCAAGGAGAGAAGCAACCTAGAACTAAGGAGAAACTTCCTGACAGTGAGAACAATTAACCAG